AGATGAACGTATGCGTCAGCCTCACCAAGCATAAGAAAGACTATACAGGCTATTCCAACAGGGATTCTTAGACCGGATTGCCTAATAACTATCAAAAGCCTACCACAGTCAGAAACATTTTAGTCAATTTAAGGCCTACAAATCTTCCTAACCTCCTACATAGGCAGACTTAATCTGTGTTTGCAAGTATTATTTTCCACCCTGAATTGACAGAAATAAAGGAATCTCTACTAAACACAGAGATATGCCAATAAAAAGGTATTTTACAAAAATCACATAACATTAAATATTTTAACTTTATCTTCTGGGGGCATCTGGGACATTATAAAAACAAAGTGTTGAGTTTATATTCCTGAGAACTCAGACAATGTAATAAATATCCTTAAAGATTTACATTCCAAAATAGAGGCCATATCCTCATCTGCCTTGTCGTGGGAATAACTGCTTAGCTCTTGCACCTCCTGGTTCTATCACCATCCTCATATTCACTGACATGTTCCAGATGCTACAACACTGATGTTGTATTAATCTTGTTCCAGTACTCCTGTCTTTTGTTTCTCTCATRGAAGCTCCCACCTCCTAGATGACTATAGCCTGTTCTTATCAAACCAGACTTTTGCCACAGATCCTTCAACTGACCCAAAACATTCCTAAAAGGGAAACCCAAACTGCTGGCCCCACATCACCAATCTTAGTCTGAAGCAGCCACAGCAGTCCTTGGCCATTTCCCCTTACAGCAGTAAGGGTTCCCTTAATCAGAGAGGCTAATGAGACTAGGGCAAAGAACAGGTAAATGATTATCAGAGAAAAGGAAATGGATAGATAACACTCCCTAGCACCATCACCTGGTTGCTAACAGCCTTGGGTGAAGCTAAGGATCCACTCTGCGGTTCTCTTCCTGTCTTCTGTTCACCACTAGGCAAGCTCAGAGGAGGAAGAGTTAAGAAAGGAAACCTGGAATCTATAAAGGGGCAATTCACTCCCTCAGGCACCAGTTCTGGGCTCTCACCTCTCTGGAATGTGTATGTCTCTCTCTCTCTCTCTCTCTCTCTCTCTCTCTCTCTCTCTCTCTCTCTCTCTCTCTCTCATCATTTCTTGCCTTGTCATTTCTCTGATATTTAATCTCAACCCTTGGGGAATGAAGACCCGATCCCGATTTTCAAGACTGGTTACTGCTAATACTAACATAACATTTACTGGGGTAGGCATGGTGCTAAGCATTTAGTGGATCTTAGTCCTCACAACAACTTTGTGAGCTGGAGATTCACGTTATTTCTATTTACATACAGGGAAACTGAAGCTCAGGGTAGTTAAGGTCACCAGGCCAATGTGTGGAGAGTCAGGGTTCAAACACCCAAGAGAAATYCCATGCCAAACTGTCTCTTGTCCTTGACATTCACCAAGATCTCTTTTACTTAGAACTGAAGGGCCTTCCCTCACTCAACAACAGGTATTACCCTCTCCACACCTCTTCCCAGGTTCACCCTACYGGGTAGAGCTCTTTGAGGACAAAACAACAAGCCTTACTTCTCTATGCCTTCCATGCCTGGAATCACGTATGACCCAAGTTAGGCACTGGATCAACAGTCTTCTGCATCTCTGAAACTCTCTGCAATCTGGTACAGAAGAGGCACCAGTCAAATCATCATAAGGAGAAGACTTATTTTCATGATTGGTATGTGACAGTCAAAAGCACAATCTGACCCACAGAGCATGGTCCCAGGCCAGACCCAGGGCAAAGCTCTAAGGGGCTTCAGTACATCTTCTGTCACTCACRGTCCACTTTCAAAGAAGGTTGGCAGGGGAACTGGCCCTGAAGGGCCTGTATGGCTTTTGACCTAGCCGACTGTGTCATGGAGACTTCTTCACATCAGCCAGGATGTACACATTCCATTTCAAGAGGCAGAAATCTCTCCAGAGCAGGATGTCACACTGCCCTCTGTGCTGGCATGCAGAAAAGGTATACTTGGTACCCTCAAGTCGGTGATGACCTTGGATGATATTTTCCCCTGCAAAGAGCCATTCTCATTCACCCCAACACTTCTCCAGAGAAACCTTTGTGTTAACACTTCTGAAAAGCCAAATGCTCATGCTCACACTCACACAATAAATCTGTCATGTTGCTCACATCCATCGTAAATGCTGCCAGCTATTTGATTGGGATACTTCTCTAGGTTTGGTGGTGAAGCCAAGCCCTTGTCCCAGAGCTGTGGAGAGGTGCCCTGGGTGGGCTAGAGCACAGGTGGGRCATGGAGCCTGCCATGCAGGCTGGGGTCTGAGATGCAGCAAGCCAGGACRCACTGGCTGTCACCCTGTGGTAACCCAGCCTAGGCCCATGGCTGACAGCAGCTCCCCRAACCTCCAAACATCCACAATCCAAAGACCTCAAATTCCTGCTTCCACACAAGTAGTGGAAAACGGAAGTGACGCAGGCCTGAATGAGATTGTAGGGCTAATCAGCAGTGTTGGTACTTTTCCAAACACTTATTAGCCTAAATCTGGGCCAATAGCATTGTCCCAAGTTTTATATAAACCCCTAGACCAGCACATTCAGGAGGCAACCCCTCCCCAGGTCCCTTCTTGACACTGAGGGTTATGTTTCCATTCTTCACACTTCCATAAATCCAACGCCTTTTACTCTTGTCTTCTACTGTCCTATCTGGTGACTTTCATTCTTCGTTCAGATCTGTGAGACAAGAACCCAGAAAGTAGGTGGCGGTGGGCTGCTGGGGTCCATTGCATCACTGAAGGGCACAGCCCCCCATTCAGAGCTGGAATGTTGAGAGCTACCACACGCCCGTCCCTAGGAGTGGAGRAGAATCCAGCTCTGCTGGCTGTGACCCTCAAGCTGACACCAGCAGGCATCCCCTGCGGTGATTAGCTGCTTTCACTAAAACAGGCTTTCTCGGTGGCAGAGGCCCTCAGCTTGCACAGGCCCCAGATGCCAGCAGGAGCAGAGAACCACGTTTGGTCTCAAAGTCCCGTTTCAGGGAAGGGAAAAGTAGGTGAAGGGGAGGAGAGAAGGTGCCACATCAGATCCCCCCACGGACAAACACTTCACTGCACAGAATGGATTTTATATGTCTATTCCCAGACTGTGGGTTTTTTTTTTTTTCCTTTTCTCTACCTAAATATTAAGCCATTCAAAGCTGGAAACAAATGTTTTTCTTCCTGCAAAAGGGCCCAAAGTTGAACAAACCTTTCACAGACGCTCATTAGAGTTTGAATGCAGTGATAACAGTGGTGGTCCAGGGGTGTCCATGGAGAACCAATAACAGCAAAGTTTCTGTTCATCTACCTTGCTTTCCAACGAGAGTGGCTTCCCACAAAAGCCTAGGAAATCAAAGTCTCACCAGGCCATAAGACTGAGCTTCTTAGAAACAAAGAACAGTGAAATCTTTGAGGAAAGGAAGCTCTTTCATATCAGCCAGGCCAAACTTTTCCACTAGACCTTTAAAACTGTCGAGATCCTGAAAGGGGAAATGGCTTGGCAGAGGCCCTTGGTGAGCAGATTTCCCAATTCTGTGGAGGCTTACGACACCCAGAAAGGGTCTTCTCCACAGGAACCTGTTGGTTGATGGGTGCAAGTGTTGGTTGGTGGTGGCACTGTTCACACGGTTGATGACCAGCCCTTGCCCGGCTACCCTCRTGTCAGTTTAAGGAGCTTCCTCTCTAGGACCCATGTCAGGTCATCAGCTCCATCCCTTCCAATGGGGAAACTATTCACAGCCAACATAGAAAGAATGGGTGCACATTAGTCCAGGTTGAGGTAGCTGGTCTATACTTCATGGCCCACTCCCAGCTAATCTTCTCAGCTCCACCCTGACCACCACCCCCCCATCACTCCTCACCAGTTGCATGCCTACAAAGAGTCACCTTGGGCTTCTGGATATCACTGKGACCTCTCTGCATGCCCCCTCCTTTGTGACAGCAGGAAGGATTGGGATTCCTCCACCTCCCTTCATATCATCCCCACCAGCCCCTAACGGGCCTCTAGTTGTGAGATTGACTTCTCCCTCTTGCAAAATACAAAAGTAATCTCAAGTTGTGCCTACAGAGAGGCAGCATGGTATAGTAGTTAAGGGTATACAACTCGAAATGCCTATATTTAAATCTTATCTCCATTATTTAGTAGCTATGAGATTTGGGGCAAATTATATAAACTTTCTGCACCTCATTTCCCACCCGAAAAACAGGAGTAACAATAGATCTACATTAGATTTTGTTTTGAGAATTAAATGATTTAACAGAGTACTAGAATGTGTCTGTCCCAAAATCCAAAATAGGTACTTTTTTTTTTTTTTTCCAGGGGTGAAATTCAGAGCCATATACATGCTAGGCCAGTGCTCTACCACTGAGTTACATCCCTAGCCCTTTGTAAAATTTTGTTTTCAGACAGGGTCTCACTAAGTTGCTGATGCTGGCCTCAAACCTCCTGAGTAGCAGGGAATTACAGGTGTGTGCTACAATTTCCACTGYGTCTATATATGTTACGGTTGCTGTTGTTATTCTTCTTTTCTTTGCAGCCACCACGTCCCCAGCTACCAAAATAAAGATTCTGCCTATTTATATACCCTTTCAGATCTGTGTTGTAGCCCACCTGTCAGGTCAGTAGCTTTGTGGCACTAATCCTAGTTTTCTGTGGAAAGGACTCTGAGATTAGAGAGAGGAAAGACTATTAAGACTCCCCTGACCCAGCCCCATTTACAGTCTAGTAGTTACCTTCTGTTTGGGATATAATGTTCTATACTAAAATCTATTCTTTACCGATTAGATAAGCCTAGCATTATTTTCAACTTCAATGTAAAATAATTTTTSTCCTCCATATTTGCTTGGATTAGGGAAAGAGAAAATAGTGGAAAAATACATTTAAGTTGAAGATTTTAGAGCAGGAATCCCTTTGAAGAGATTTGAAGAGGCCATGAATTTTCAGTAAAGATKATAGTTCAAATTTATCCCTGACATAGGACAACTCAAACACACTGTGACATTATACTCACCTTGGCTACCTGTAAATGAGMATTTGAATATCCAATCCATTTCATGATCTGAGTTACTCAAAATATCCTAGAAAACATATTCAAAATATCACCAGTGACTCAAGTTGGAGCTGCCAGCTTCGTAGGTTAAACGAGTTATGTCTAATGAATCCCATCTTTGTGGCCAGACCTAATAGGATGGGAGGCAGAATATACTAAACCTGGGTGGAAGTCTTGCCAGGAGATAACAAGAGCCTGACTTGAGGTTGAAAAGGTCCACAAACCCTTGCCTGCCGGTGACACAAGGCTGACTGTCACATACCACAGGGACAAGGGCCCAGGAACCCAATTCAGGGGCAGCCTGGCATCTTGGGAGAAGAAAACGAGCTCCTGAACGTCCACCCAGATCAATCCTAAATAGACACTTGGCAACTCTGCGCTCATTTGGCCCCCACAGCAGCCCAACAAGATAACTAGGTCTTACAGTTAGACCAGAAAGGGACTGTCCTTGGATGAAAAAGGGCAAACACTGGGGATTCTCTATTAGCAGTCACTGATCAGACCGAGGCTGACCGTTTTGCTTACCTCAAGACTTCCTTTTCTGCAGAGGATGGAAAGGTCAAAGATGGCGGCACCGAGGTTCCCCTGACCGCTGCACCKGCACGTGGGGCCCAGCGCGCTCAGCAACGGTCTGATCCGGCCCGCGGAGGACACGTTCGGCTGCTGGATGCACTCCAGGCGGAGGCAGCTGATTTGGCGGGAATGGAAGTAGGCCTTGAAGTTGGGTCAGGGTCTGGTGTGGTATCTGCATTCCTAGCTCTATGATAGGACCTCAGGTTTTGTACCTGTGCACTGATATCAACCCYGATGCAGCAGCTGGTACCCTGGAARCAGCACGCTGTAACMATGTCCGCACTCAATCAGTAATTACAGAGTTGGTCAAAGGCCTGTTACCAAGWCTGAAGGAAAAAGTTGCTTTTCTGGTGTTCAGTTCCCCCTGTGTTGTGACTCCACCCAAAGAGGCGGGAAGTCACCGAATAGAAGCAGCTTGAACTGGTGGCAGAAATGGCTTAGAAGTCATGGACAGATTCTTTCCACTAGCATCAGCCCTCCTTTCCCCAGGAGGATGATCCTATTTAATTACCATAAAAGAAAATAATCCAGAAGACGTTTTTGAAAACATTGAAGACAAAGTCTATAAGGGACCACTGCACCTTCCAGACAGGCAGGCCAAGAAACTCTTTCCATTCTGGAGAATCACCAAGTCCTGATAGACCAAGAGCTACTTGGAGTATGCAAGAGATTCTGTGAGCTGAATGCATTCAGCATATTTTAAAATGAAGTCATTCCTTGGTTAAGGAATTTTACTGGAAATTTGTCATTTAAAAAATAATAAAAAAGAGAGAGATGGAAAGATGGAACATTCCCTTTAACCAGGGATTCAAGACTACCAAAATAGTTACACATGTGCAGGTAGATATGTTTGTTTATAATTTGCATTTTATATGTAAAGGTTATATTTATATTACATGTGAATGTGTATTCATTTCAGCTTTGGTTCTACTAGCAAAACAGTSAATCAACCTCAACGTCCATCAGGAAGGAGATTGGTTCAAATAAATTACAGTGTATCTATTTCACTGAACATGCAACCATTAAACATGAGTCAGGTCTCTATGCTAAATCAGAAGGGGTTCATGCTGTACTATAGAATGAGAAGAGCAAGCTGTAGATCAATTTTATCCTACATGGGTTTTTTTTTTGGTTTTATTTTATTTTATTTTATTTTTTTTTGTGTGTGTGTGTGTGTGTGTGGTTCTGGGGATTGAACCCAGGGCTTTGTGCATGTGAGGCAATCACTCTACAGCTGAGTTATATCCCCAGTGTGTATATTTTTAAGAAACCAATAGAGACAGTATGTTTGTATGTGTATATGAGCCTCAGAAGACAAATAGCAGGTGAGATTGAAGGAACTTCTACTGTTTGGGGGTGGTTTTTGTATTTGCCCCTACAATAATAAAATTGGGGAATGGCTATGGATTATTATGATTTTAAACAAATGATCGCAGCTGATGCAGCAAATGGGGTTTCATTGCTGGAGAAAATAAACACATCACTTGGTACCTGCTACACCATATTGATCTAGAAMATGCCTTTTTCATTATACCTATCCATTAAAAACCCACCAGAGATAGTTTGTTTTCAAGCCAGCAAGGCTGGCAATACATCTTCACTGTCCTACCTCGGGTATTATCTACTCTCCAGCCTTATGTCATAATTTAGTTTGCAGGGATATTGATCACCTTCCCTATCCACAAGATACTACACTAATCATTACATTGATGACATGATACTGACTGAACCAAATGATCAAGAAATAGCAAATTCCACAGACTTACTGGTAACAAGTTAGGAAATCTAATAACACTTTGAGGGCCTTCAACCTCAGTGAAATTAGTGGGGTCTAATGGTTTGGGGCATACTRAAACATCTCTTCTAATATGAAGGATAAGTTCTTGCAATAAGTGCTCCTATAACCAAGAAATAGATATAGCATTTAGTGGATTCCTTGTGTTTTAGAGGCAACAAATGCTTATTTGGGTGTGTTACTCCAGCCAAGTGACCAAAAAGTTGCCAGCTCTGAGTTGGACTCAGAACAAGAAAAGGCTTTGCAACTTGTGTCGGCCGCATACAAGCTGCCCTGCCACTCAGGCCATATGATCCAGCAGATCCAGTGGTGAAATGTCATTGGCAGACAGAAATGCTATACAGACCTTTGGCAGGCCCCTAAGGTTGAGTTCCAGTTTCAGGCCTGTAAGATTTTGGAGCAAGACTGCTAATGCCATAAATAACTATTTGTTTTGAGAGAGAGCTCTTGGCCTGCTACTGGGCCTTAGTAGATTCTTAAGAGTTAACCATAGGTCACTAAGTTAACATGGGAATTGAGCTACCCATCTTGAATTGGTATTGTCTGACCCTCCAAACYGTGAAGTTGGCATGCACAGCARCACTCCATCATCAAATGGAAGTGACRTACCCAAGATTGGACCTCAGCAGGCCCTGAAGGCTGAAGAAAGTTACATGAGGAAGTGTTCCCAAGGCCCATTTYCCTCACTCCTGCCTTCTCCCTCCCTCCCTGCTCCTATGGGCAGCCCCCTGTGATCTACTGACAGAGGAAGATGACTGCAGGCACTACCCCAAAYTGGACAGCTGAAGAACTCTCTGCACATCCCTAAAGGACAGCCAGTGAAGGGACATCCTCCTAATAAAGCTCAAAGTAACGCACCGAGTTGTTCACTTGACTTGGAAGGGGAAACAGCCAGATAGGCAATTATATTCAATTTCATGAGCTGTGACCCTTAGTTTGGCTGGATGGTTAGGGACTAGAAAGGGTCATGATTGGAAAATTGGTGACAAAGACATTTGGGGAAGAGGTTGTGGATACACTTGTCTGAATGGGCAAAAGACATGAAAATATTTGTGTCTCAGGTGAAGGCTCACCAAAGGGTGACCTCAGCAGAGGCAGACTAATAATAAATAGTACAACCACCCCCCCCCCAAAAAAAAGACTTCCTTTTTTGCAATACTGGGTGACAATACAGATGTTGTAAATACCAAAGAAGGGGATGATGTTCTCATGCCTTAATTCACACACCTGGAAATAATGGTGAAAACAGTACATATATAAAGTGAGTCTTTGTGCGAGGGACTGCGCCTTATATACTTTCAGTTAATTCTTACAAAGGGCTGGGGATGTGGCTCAAGCGGTAGCGCGCTCGCCTGGCATGCGTGCGGCCTGGGTTCGATCCTCAGCACCACATACCAACAAAGATGTTGTGTCCGCCGAGAACTAAAAAATAAATATTAAAAATTCTCTCTCTCTCTCTCTCTCTCTCTCTCTCTCAAAAAATAAAATAAAAATAAAAGTCTCGAGCCTTGGGCTCTAAGTCCAGCAGGTGCCCACTCGCTAAAAAAAAAAAAAAAAAAAAAAAAAATTCTTACAAAGACCTTGTGAGATGAGAACTGTTACTACTCCTGTTTTACAGATGAGAAAATGGATGCCCCCCCCCCCAAAGAGGAAGTCAGTTATTGAAAATCATGTAACTTAAAAGTGGCAGAGCTGGGAGGTAAATCCACAGGGACCTTCAACCAATAAGCCAGGGGCAGGATCTAAGAGTGACCTCAGCCAGCCCTGCTTTCTGCTTGTAGCTGCCAATGTCAGTGTGTGGGTCTCGACAGGCCATTAGTACAGAGTAAGAAGTCAAACTCCCTCCCAGGCCCAGGTTCAAAGTTGGTAAGCAGCCATCACAGATGGAAAAGGTGAGAGCCAGAATTAAGGTCAGAAAAGAATTAAGTGGGGAGGGCAGAGGTGGGAGGAACCTCCAGGGTTTAGGTGCCTGGGCCAGGCCAAGGGTCTAAGATCCAAGGCCTGGACTGTCAGGGTGCAGGGGTATCAGGTCAAGTTAAGGGAAGTAGCTTCCCACCATTGCTCTTCTGGGATAGAGAACACCCCTCACATTCAGAGAAGGCACAGAGAGGGGCCTCACCAGCTGGACTTCCTGCCACACAGTCAGCTTCCTATCCCATGCTTCTGCTTGGTCACCAACATAGCAGATGGTCATGTTTTCTCTGGAATCAGAGACAAAGTGGAATGTTCTTAACCCAGGATGATCCCAAAACAGCTCCATTCAGAGGGCAAAAGGAGGATCAGGAAGACTTGAAAAAAGAGATTCACCTACAGGAGGGACAATTCAGTTTCTCACTGCCCTATCAACCCCTCTGGTGGCACTGTGCTATATCTCMCACTGAGCTAGCTACCCAGCAGTCAATTAGTTAGAATGATAGCCCAGTTACAGATGGGACCCCTAAGGTTAGGAAACGTGTCCAAGGTTGCACACTGGTAGGTAATACAGCCAGAATTTAAATGTCTAACTCCAAGACTATACTCTTTCTATCATACAGTATTGCCCCATTAACATTCAGGTGAGGTGAGGATATAATGTAAATCCGGAGTCAGATGCCTGTTTCAAAACCCAGTGCCACCCACTGAATGGAACTTCTTCAAGCTTTAAAAATCTCATAGAGTTTCCATGAGGATCAAAACTATTAAAATACCCAACACTGGAAATTCAATGCCAGGCACACATTAAGTTTTCATTGATGGCATATCTTATGGTGAGCATTACCTATTGTGTCTGCTTTTAACCATCACAAAACACAGTACTGGGGTAGGTGTGAGGTAGAAGAAGATACAGTATSAGCTCTGTGCCAATCCCAGATCTGCTCCTTTTAGGTGGGGGTAACTACACAGGACGCAGGACTGTAGTGGGAGCTCCAGGGAGGAAAGGATGCCTATGGGATAGAGCAAAGTATTCTCAGAAGAGGTGATGCTGGTGCTGAACCCCAAAGCATAAGAAGGTTCTACATGGAGTGAGGAAGGCAGAGGAGGCATGGCATTATCAGAAGGTGAAATGTATATGGCATGATCAGCAAGACCAACCGGACAAGCATAACATTTAGGCCAGGAACAAAAAGTTTCTGAAAGTGTGTTAGAACTAGGTCATGAGGAGACTTAAGTCCCTTGTTAAAGAATTTGGACACTAACACGAACATAGTCCATAGAGGTGAGGAATACAGTGATAGGGGTGGAGGGAAGGAAGAAGAGACCATTTTAAGAAGATTTATGAGTGATGTGCTTCAGGTTGCTGGCTTCCTTCTCTAAATGGCCAGTGACCACAACATACAGTTTCATCTGGTCCGTAGTTTGTATTTGGTAATATCCTAGGAGATTCTTGTAGTTTGAAAACTCAAGTAAGTAAACATTTAGAAAAATAAATTCAGTTGCATACAAATGTATTGACTCTAATCTCTCCTAACCCACGTTTACAGCAATGAACGAATCTTCCCTTGTATAGAGCTTTCTGCCCCTACTCTTCAGGACTTCCATTTTTAAAAGGTAAATACATGGAATTTTTTTCTTTATATAACTCCCCCCCCCAACGGGGACTTGAATTTCTAAACTTATTAAGCACAGGAGACRTTAAGGTCCAGGGTGTGGAAGGGAGGGAGAGAGAAAGTGGGAATGGAATGGTGTCCCAGCCTTGGCAGCTGCCACTGTTTACACTGCAGAAGCCCAGACCCGTGACAGAGTCTCATTAAAGCACCAGGGAATGGAATAATGCATGTTCTAGGAGTACACTTGTCCATTAAGGTAGCCACTAGCCAAATGGGGCTATTTAAACTTAAAATCAAATGAGTTGTAACTAAATAAAATTTAAAGTGCAATTCCCCAGTCACACTAATGTTTAATGGTCACGTGAGGCTGGTGGATACCATATTGGATAGTGCAGATTTGGGACCTTTGCATCACCACAGAAAGTTCTATTGGACGGAGCAGAGTYTAATCTAGAAGCCAGCATAGGTAATCACTTAGGAACTTGCTAGAAATGCAGAACCTAGACYGACTGACTCAGAATCTGCTGCATTTTTAAAAGCAGGAAATTTTTTGAAAATTGACACATAACATTTTTACCCATTMATCCACATTTTTAACAACAGCCCCAAGTGATTTGTACGCACATTAAAGTTTCAGAAGCACCAGTTTGGAGAGCAGAGACCACCTTGGCTTTTGCTTGGAGAATGTCCTATTCGGAATGCCCTGTCTGACCAAGACTTCATGTGGAAAATAAGGCAGAAATACWCATTGAGATCTACGATACCTGGCTCAAGAAATACCTGGCAAAGCCCTACTGGGGGCATAAAAGAGCTCCCCACCAATTCTCCCTGCCCCCAGGCTCTTGACAAAGGTGCTGAGGTCAGCAGAACTCATCCTACAAGATGCCTTACTACTGTTGCCTCTTGATACAGGTGTGCCTCTCCCAGGTGGCTGCAAAACAACATGTGAATCCATGGCTCTCAATGACATGGCCAAGTACTGAAAGAGCTGTGCTCTTTATAGATTAGGAAGGTGAATTCCAAGGTCACACAATTAATWCATGGAAGAGTCAGGACTTGAACTCTGATATTTCTGACCCATAGTGTGAATGTATCTACCTGATACATGCATCTCTCCTGGTGTCTGTATGGAYATTGCCAGTGGTGAGGGCAGACTCTCAGTCTGTTCAGAATCAAGTTCTAGGTGTATCACTTCATTAAGGTGAAGTCAAAGTCATTTTCCTGAATCAACCTGGGGTCCCTCTGTATTTAATCTCCTCTAGTGTCTCCCCAACAACTACAGAACATCTTCAAAGCACAGGAACCCTGTTTTCCCAGAAGAGTCTTCCCTGGAACCCTAATGTACAAACCAACCAAATCAGAACAGAGCTGTTTTGATTGAAGAGAGAAGAGGAAGACTCCAAATCCCCAAGAACATTTGGAAATAAGTTRTAATGACACCCAATCTCCGGGTCTTACTTTGTAYATTGAAACCTTCCTGACTTGGTCCCAGCCAAGTTCTCCAGCCTTCAACCATCCACATCCTRTGTAACTTCTCTCCTTGTCACCAGYAGCAAACTCACTCCTCCCAAATATTGCCTTCTCCCTGAAGCCTTCAAGAAGCTGGGAACTTGAGTCCTCCTCTTACAACCCCACAAGGCTTCTGCCTCACCAACCCCATGGTGACACCTCTCTGTACATCTGATTTCCTCTAAAGGCATGTCATTTGTGGGGTTCCCCAAGCCTTGCACTCTGCTTATGGTCATGAAGTGTTTATTATGCAAATGAGCCTTCCCATGCTAGTCATCACTAGATTAAAGGAGATAACTAAATCCTCCCCAGAAACAGCCTCAAYATTTGAGCAGTACATGTGTTTCTTATACCCACAGCGTAATAAAGTTGAAGGGAACTTCAGAGACTGCAGGTCATTTGTCAATAGTCAGAAACTGAGCCTCAGGGAGGTGACAGAAGTATTCAGCAATGCAGTACCTTGAACCAGAAGTCAGGTCTGGGGACCTCATGAGTTGCACACTGTATAAATGAGCCAGCCCCTTGCTCTGAATGAGGTATCTTCCAAAAAAAAAAAAAAAAAGGCAAGTGGACATCTGGGTCCCAAGTGCCTCACCTTGCTCTGGGGCAGGATGGTGATGTTAACATAGTTAATTTGCCACCCAATGTCTATTTTGCCTCCTCAGTTTTCCCCTCTGCATCCTTAAAACCAGACCAAGGGTGGCAGCTCTCAGGACAGTACTCAGGAGAATCACCGTGACACTCACAACRGTTAGACCTGCAGAATGGAGACTGTCATTACTCAGGCCTGCCTAAGAGCAGAAAGGGGCCCATCTCTGACCCAGCCTGGTCCTGCTAGGCACGGGCCTSGAAGGCCCTGCTAGGCACCTCCCTCTTGGCATGGAAATGYCTATCTTAGGGAAATAATGTACCACCATCCCCACCTTTGTTAAACATACACTGTGTTCTCTGTAGGGCTGTTCTCCAAGCATGATCCATCTAATTCCAGGGTTGTGCCCTTGACMGTTCCACACACTCCACCACCCAGGCTCTTTCTCCCTCCCTCCAAAAGAAGTTCCTGAGACTCAAATCTCAAGAGCCAGATTTCCCTAGGGCAGTGGTTCTCTAGGGGCAGGGCAGGCGATGTCGCCCCCTAGGGGATATGTGACAATGTCTGGAAACATGTTTGGTTCTTGCAACCACAGGGTTGCTTCTGGCATCTAGTGGTAGGAGCTATGGATGCTACATCCTACAATGCACAGGAAAGATACACACACACACACACACACACACACACACACACACACACACAGATTCTCCAGCCTAAAATAGCAAAGGTGCTACTGTTATTGAAAAACCCCATTATAGAGGAAAACTGATTTTTCCTGATTTTTCTCCAAGCAGCCACACTTAACCTGTTAAAGTAGGCTTTGTTTTGCAGAGCTCCTTGTAAAACCCACAGCTGGGTCTGACTTCAGGGAGGGAACCATGAGACCAAGTAATGTTGGAGAAATTTCTTAATGGTCTTTAGAAAAAGAAAACACAAGTGTCTGTGATGACTAGATGTATCCTACTTGTCTCTACATCATGTACAAGAGGAACAACTGAAACATACATTATTTGTTTAAAAAAAAAAAAAGACAACTCACATCTCTTCTGACTGGACCAAAATTCTCATCTCCCCTCTACTCCTCAAATCCAGCTCCTGGGTATCTAATTCATAGATGGCAATATCCTTTTGCCTGGTAGAATATGTAACTTGATCTTTTGATTTAAGCCACCAATTCTCCAGTGTTGCTGGGAATTGCACCCAGGTTTGATATAGACAAATCTTATTATATAGCACTTTGACATTCACAAACCCTAGCCTTGTCCCTGCTGTGGAGTGAGCCCATTCCTGTGATTCTGAGGACTTGGTTTGCCATGGTAATTTTGTTTTCTAGGTTGGCCCATTTGGGTACATTAACATTCCATAAGAGTAAAGGAAAAAAACCTCTCCAATGGAATCTGKATTGGGGATGGTGGCAATGAGAGGCAAACAGAATTAAGTGTTAGGTTTCCTTTTCTCATTGATCTGTAGATGAGAGAACAAAACTATGGATTTTTCCAGGGCCTTCTGGGAGCCCAGGATGTCAGAGGATTCTGATGTACAAATCTGTTTGGGAGTCAGGCTRTAATAGGTGAGCTTCTGGCTGACTAGGGGCCCATCCCTGTAGCGGGTGCTGTGTTCCATCACCCACTAAGCCAGTGCCTCTCCCAGAGACCCATGGGCAATGGGAACTGGCTCTGGCTGGGTCATCAGAGGAGGCCTGGTCCCTTATAGAGAGGTGCTGCATTCTACCCTGGAAGCTGAAATGGCCAACCTATATGAACAATCTAGGGCAAATCATCTTAAAGGCCTAAAGTCTATTTTTATGAGGTTAGAGAGCACCAGACATTGGTGAGGGATTCTAGGGCCTAAATTCTAAATTGATCTCCCAGAAGAAGGTGATCTCCCTGGTCCCCTCCCCCTCCCAGGGCTCTTCCCCTGACATGAGCTAAACTTGCAGAAATATCTTATAGTACCTGATTACTTTCTGAGAGCAATCATAATGAAGTAAAGGAAGAAAAAGGAACTCATTTCCAAATTCCTGTAGGATGTAGACTGAGTGATCCATGTACCTTTTTCCCTGGGAGTTCACAAACACAGGGCCCTGTGATTCCTCGAAAGAGAGAAGATTGCCCAAGTTAAGGAGGACAGAGCAGAACTTGTTGCTCAAAATGGCAGCCTGCTCAGGCTCAGATGGGCAGAATCCCCTTCCCCATCAAATGCCAGACGCAAGGTCTTTGCCATTTCAAGGAAGCTGAGACAGGATCAATGGGGACAGAAAAGGAAAGAAGACAGGTCAGAAGTGGCATCCTGCTGGGGCTCAGGGCCACACTGGGTAGGCAGACATATTTTGTTGGGCCTATGCTGGGGAGGCCCACCCAGCATTCAAAAAAGAAAAAAATAAGTCAAGCATGTTCCAGTTAATTTCATATAGAACCTCAGATTTGTGTTTCCCATAAACAATCAGATCTGACAAGAGAAAGCCAAATGGCCACCTAGCAAGAGATGGCTGGGGCTGAGGGGCCACTCTCTCTTCCAGTCCCTGCCATCCTCCTGGCTCCTCCACTCCAGGAGCCAGACCCCGAGGGTACAGGCTTGCCAGCTTTGTCCTCAGGTGGGCCCTTCCCGACTGGGTTTGGCAGGGCGCTCAGTCCTGGTTGGTTTGTTCTTTGCCCTTGCTTAGGATGTGCTCTGCCCCGCTCACAAAGGAACACAGCAGAGACGTCAGAGGAGTAAATAAGGTACAACTCCTCCACACCCAAACTAGCACACATGCTCTGACAAAGCACTGATTGTTCTTTGGTCCCACTGTGGACTGGATGCAAGATCCCCATTTAAGCAGTGCTTACTAAGTGCCCAGTACTGTAGTCACGATGATCTCACTGGTCTAGTCCCAGTTAACCCTACAGAGGGGGCACCRTCCTTCACTCCTAACAAGTGGGGCTTGAAGGTCAGTGTCCCCCAAGTCTGCCTTCCAGAGCTCGGAAGCAGAGGCAGAACACAAACCAGGCCACCCCGGCCCCACGTGCACTGCTCTTTCCAGCACACCTCACCACCTTGYTATGCACAGTGCCCTGGAGACAGGCCTTGTATTGTTAAGTTKTATTCTTTTTTTTTTTTTTAAAGAGAGAATGAGAGAGGAGAGAGAGAGAGGAGAGAGAGAGAGAGAGAGAGAGAGAGAGAGAGAGAGAGAGAGAGAATTTTTTAATATTTATTTTTTAGTTCTCGGCGGACACAACATCTTTGTTGGTATGTGGTGCTGAGGATCGAACCCGGGCCGCACGCATGCCAGGCAAGCACGCTACCGCTTGAGCCACATCCCCAGCCCAAGTTTTATTCTTGATGGATGAGTGAGAAAGCAGCTGAGGGAGAGACTTCCCAGGAGTGGGGATAAGGACCCCAAAGCCTCCTTCCATCTGGGCAGCCTCTAGACAAARCAAGATGAGTGGCCTGAGCCAGCAGTGAGGTTTTAACCTCAACCACCCTCACAGAAGACTGGAATCTCCACAAGAAAGCTGAATCTACAGCTCAGTGTGAGACAGACCCCTCAGGAGGTCCATTACCACACACCCAGCATCTCAAAGCCCTTGGGATTGGGGCCTGAGTCCAGAAACCCCCAGCACATGGCTGCTCCCCCTGAAGTGCAGTGTAATGGGCTCTTGGGGTGCTGACCAGCTGCCACCCATCCTGAAATTCTCTCCTGACCTGGACTATCTCTTTATCATCTGTGCGTACAGCAGGACAGCATCGTGCAGCTAGGCAGAGTAAGGGCTCATCTTCAACTACAGGAGCAAACACAGAGTGCCAGGGCTCATCTTCAACAACAGGAGCAAACACAGAGTGCCAGGGCCTACGGCCTCTGTGCAATGGAGCCAGCGCCTGTTCTGCATCCATCCCACAGAGAGGGGAGGTCACCGCATACCTGCACTGTTAACCCAGTTATCCCAGTCTGCATCCTTCCTCCCAAGCCTGGTTTTCCCAATTAGATCACAYAACCCTCCTGGAATAGTCCTGGAGGCCTTGGTCTTTCATGTGTAAGTGAAAAGGTTTTGGAGCCAGGCTGGTTCTGGTCCTTCCTGGTTAGGAGACCCAGGGTAATTCCATAACCTCAGTCTCAGTGCCCTCATTTCTTCCAGGGGGAGAAAGCTGCCATTGGAGAGAATGGGGAAGAGAGCTAAACAAGGTGGGTTGGTAAACTAGCTGCTGCAGTTCCTACAGCCACACAGATGCATATTCCCCTCCACTGGTTTAGCCAATGAGTTATAAGTGCCTACTGAGAGCAGGCACCCGTCTACAGCAGCCRGTACAGGGCTGACATACAGTAGGCTGCTCCCACAGAGTGGCTTGATCATTGTTTTAGTCAGCTTTTTCACTGCTGTGACCAAAGGCACCAACCAGCACAATGGAAGAGTAGGAAGAGTTTATTTGAGGGCTCACAGGTTTAGAGATCTTAGTCCATAGAAGGCCGGCTCCATTCCTCAGGGCTCAAGGTGAGGCAGGACATCATGGAGGCAGAGGGAAGCCGTTCACATCATGATCAGTAAGCATAGAGTGAGGTCTCCACTTGCCAGATACAAATACATACCCAAAGCCACGCCCCAATGCCCACTTCCTGCAGCCACACCTACCACTTGAGTGACCACTCAGTTAATCCCTCTCAGGGAATTGATGCACTGATTGGGTTAAGACTCTTAAAGCCCAATCATTTCTCCTCTGAACCTTCTTGCATTGTCTCTCTCACAGTGAGCTTTCGGGGGACATCTCACAATCAACCCATAACAATCATCTTGTCTTCTGTGTTGGGATCCATAATTGGCTCCTTCATTTCCTAATCAAGCCCCTTGCCATCAGGGCCGGTTGACACCTTAGGGCTCAGCTTGACCAAAGGCCCCCCACTGGAAGGAGCTCTGGCTCTGGCCAACATTCTTCTTTCTATAAAATTTCCTCTATGGGAGCCACCTGGCTCACTCAAATTAGAAAACATGCTCGGACTCCCACTGGCTGGACTCCTCTCTCCTGACCACCTCCCTGCTGGCCCAGACCCTCTGCTTGCCTTGTCCTAGCCACATGTCTGACTGTTCATCCTGGCTCTTGGTTGTGCTCTCCTCCTGGCTAAAGAAACTGGCCTGGCCTGAGTACCCACTGGGGTCTGTTCTGCCATTCCATGYAGCATGTTCTTGGACACTCGAAACAAGAGTCCAGGAAGTAGATGCCACTAGAGTCCCATTTTACAGGTGAAGAGACACAGTGGAGGGAGGTTAAGCAGTACCCTAGAAGGTCCCCCAGTCAGTAAGTCGCAGAAGCAGATGGAAGCCCTGGTCTCTGACACCCAGGCCAGTGGCCTTTCACCCCATAACCTCTGTTCCCCTCTGTGGTGTGGAGCATGGATTTCATAAGACAGCATCAAACCACTATTTATCTGGGGCTGTGGAAGAGGGGAAGTTGTGTGTGTGTGTGTGTGTGTGTGTGTGTGTGGGTGTGTGTGTGTTTTGGGCAGAAGAGGGGACACAAAAGGGGAAAATGCAGGAACCAAGCACAAATATGGTCAAAGGAGAAGCAGGGCCCAGTGCCGAGGCCCTAACAGACCTGCTCCTCCAAGGAGATGGAAGGGCACCCTCCTCAGCTTCTGGTAGGCCTGCTCCCAGAAGCCACGCTCTGCATGGGAGCTGAGCGTGATGAGAAACACTCATTCATAGGCCTCTGGGAGGCAATCCACTTTCTGGTTTGACAATCCATCTTTCCAAACATTTCCTAAGAAGAAAGGAAATYAATGTCACCATTCTATAAGAAATAGGCTGTGCAGCCGAACTGCATTTAAGGCCATATTGAACTTGAATTGCTGGAATCACCGGAAACCCAGTGGATTCCAGGAGGCTAGACGTATCAGGCTCATGTCTTCTAGTTAGCATACAAGCTGTGGAAAGAAAGCCAAAACATAAATCAAAATTATACCTGGGGCATCAAGCAGCTAAGAGGCAGAGCAGAAAGCTTACCCAATAGCARTGAGTACAAAAGTTTGGAAAGTTTAGGATCCTCTATTTCCAACATGCTGTTGGTAACTGGTGTTTTGTGACTGTCACTATTATTATTATTATTAGTGTATAGCCATTCATTGTGTATTTCCTAATTTTCCTATTACTTCCTCTCATCCTGCACTGAGAGTTACCCAAACAAAACAGGCACGTAGAGAGGGGAGAGAGAGTGTGTGTGTGTGTGTGTGTGTGTGTGTCTACATGTTGGTGTGTTTATGAATATGCTGTTGCACTATACTATCATTCTGCAGCTTGACTTTTTTTTCTACTTCAACCTTCATTGGGAACACTTTCATAGAATGGATTCATATATTCTTTTTAAAAGCAGCCTGGATTCAGTTGCATGGACATTGTGTGGTACCTTTTTAGTTCTAGGTCCTTCTTTTTTACGTATGTGTTTTTTTAGTTGTCGATGGACCTTTATTTAATTTATTTATATGTGGTGCTGAGAATCAAACCCAGTGCCTCACCCATGCCAGGCAGGCAAGTGCCCTACCACTGAGCCACAACCCYAGCCCTAGTTCTAGACTCTCTCTGCTACTACAAACCAATGGGATTGATCTTCAAATTTTGGGGGGAAGCAACAGGAGGGAGGGAAGTTTAGAAGGACTTCTCTGAAATACTAAGACTTGGCACATCCCCACCTCTCTTGTGCTCTCCCTGAAGGCAGAGGTGAGGGGAAAATTAAGAGAAGGCAGCGATGGGGGGGGCATAGAAAGGTAAGGCAAGAGAAGGCTCTGGAAAGCCTGGCATGCATTTAGAATTCCATCTGCCAACCAAAGAAATCTGAGGCCCTTTTGGTCATCTGAAATACTTCCTGATAAAGAAAGAGAAATCCTGGACATTGTTATACATCTCCCTCTACTTCCTTTGCCCCATGTCAGCTTCTCGATTATATAAAACAACCTCATTTTAGCAAGCAAACSTGTTGGGAAAAGCATACAGTGTGTCCATAGCTGAAGTCCAGTGGCATTTCTAGACTCTGCCTGCAGTATGGTGCACAGAGACACCGAGGCCAGCCCACTGGGTGGAACAGTAGTCCTCCTGCATGCTAGTTGTATAGCCATTTCACCTCTCAGGAACTCAGTTTTCCCTTCTATAAAATGAGATTAAAAAGAGTGCCTGCACCATAGGGTGGTTGTAAGCTGAAATGAATTCTAATATACCAAGCAGCCAGACACCTCACAAATACTCCATAAGACAGCTATGGGGTGAAGGGCAAAAGACYCAGTTTGGAACCCCAGCTATGCCACTTGGGAGTGCTGAGATCTTCTTAGGTAAGCTACCTTTCTTATCTAAGCCTTGGTTTTTCATCTGTAAGTCAGAGTGTTAATCGTGTCTTCTTTCCGAGGCTTTTGGAAACCTCAAGTGCAACAATGCATGTAATAGCTGCCTCACGGGGCTACTGGGAATATCAGGTTCAACAATGCATGCCAAGTGTGTAACAATACTCAAGACTCAATACCTGAGTGGGCCAGTATGTTGCTCTCTCCAGGCATTTATATGTGCTTCAAGGACACAGGAGGCGGCTGTGGAAGAATAAGAAACGAGAGCCACATGTGTTTGACAGACCTTTGGGAAGGTCCCACTTCCCTGATAGAAATGACAGTTCTTCAGCAGGTCCAGAAGCCAGGCTCCACACTGGCYCCTCCGGGCACAGCTTCTCACTGCCTCTACAAAGAACTCTGGGTACGTTCTTTCAGCTCAGTCCTAGTCTCCTCATCTCAAGATGAAGACTCGGGAGGGCCCACCTTCTAGGTGGTAGTATTTGGTGAACTAATACATCCTGGTTCACAGCAAGGACTCCATTCTCATTACCRGAGCCACTGAGTGCGGGTCAGCATCTACCTCCAACTGTGGCAAAATAATAAAGGCAAATTCTCCAGTGCTGAGTCCCAGGTTCTCTGCAGCCCGCAGAATAATTTTTGCATCCTCTGAGTTGCAGATAAAGATGATAACTGCAGGAAAGGAAGACAGAGTTGGTCAGCTGCATCATGCACGCGCGTGTGCATACACACACACACACACACACACACACACACACCACTCTCTTTTGAAAGCCTAGCCTAAAGCCACTCCAAAGCAGACACAATCTTTTTCTTTCCTTAAGTGTGCTTCGGGAAATAGAAGCTCCTCAACTAGTCCCAGAATGTAGACTTCTTAAAACAAGCCTGCAACATACAACTCGGCAGCTGTTGCCTCATGGAAATTAGCCTTTGCTGCAGTTTCCACCCGTACAATGCACAAGTCCAAATGCGTTGAGATTATTTCTGTGAGTCAGTTTCTTTCATCTAATTGACTCAGAATATCAAAACAAAAGATCTTGTCAGTGACTCAGCAGCTTCACATTGGCTCAGAGGAGGTCACAGAGGACCTAGAATCCAGAACGTTCAGACTCTCTGGGCTGAAATGGGCGGGGGTGGGTGTAGCCATGGTATTCTCATTCCATGCAAGCGCATCATCATTTATTCTGGAGACACACAAATGAAGTAGTGGCTTATTTTTGAAATTAGGTCATTTATAATGTATTTGTCTGAGCTCCAGTCACGTGTCCGAGAAGACACATGGAGACTGCAATGAGCCCGGCAAAGGATGGAAGAGCTCAAAGAAGCCTCTCATTAGTGGGGGAGGGGGAACAGCTCTGCATGGAACAGCAAGGGACAGCTGCTCTGAGGAGGTGGGCGCTGGACCCATCTGGAAAGCAAGAGGAATGCTGGGTGGGGTGTGGCATTGGGTGGCACTCTGGGGAGAAGGATAAGCAAATCCCACAGTCCCAAGGCCATAAGAGCTTAGTTTATTTGAAGATCAGAAAGGAGTCAGTGACCAACCCGTGCTAGGAAAGAGAGTCTTCTAAGCAGCACCACAAAAATATCTGCTGCCCTATGTTGACCTGCTGTCCAGATTCTGCACTGTTCCTGTGTCACATGTGACCTTTCTTAATCCCTGCCTTCCTAGAGGGGAGGTAGGATGGTGGTCTCCGTTTTACAGGTGAGGGATCTGAGGCACAGAGAGGTTAAGGAACTTCCCAGGAGCACACAGCTAGAAAGTGTCAGAGGCAGGAATCAAAGCTAAGTGYGTCTGTCTCCAGAGCCCATGCTCTGAACAGCTACCAAAGTCCAGGACCCGGCTTACCTGGAATATACTTCTAGAACTCACACTATAGCACCTGAGATTACACTTTAGGCAAAGTGAAGAGTTCTTAATTGTACTCAAAAACTTTGCCCAACCTATTTGATGCTCTGAATACAAGCAAAGGAAATCTCTTTCCTACTTTCCCCTGGCGACTGATGACATGCTTCTGAGATCCTCCTGAAGGAGGACTCGGTTACTGCTGGTGTGTCTCATGCTGCTGGCAGTGATGGTGAAATGGGATTTTAGTTCATCTCCACAACCCTCCATAGCTCATTCCCACTATCCCAGGAGGAGGCCCAGAGTGGCATCCAAACAACCCAATGTGTTTCCAACCTAGGTACGAGAGACCTAGGTTGGAAACCTTCAGAAAGGTAGACCTTTTCTGAAGCACATCATCTTTTTCCTGCTTGGATAGCACAAGTGTCAACGCAAGTATCATACAAAAAAATGGCTCTTCAACTTGGCCATTGATCCAACAAAGTCAAACAGGGATCTTCCACTCAGAAGCCAGCAAACCAGCACCCTTGAAAGAAACTAAGAGGACATCTTTTCGCCATAGAGTTGATGCAACACTCAAACCTCAAAGTGAAGTATCTGCATAAACCTCAGATTCAGGAAGTCTGTGGGTGGACCCTCTCTTTTGGAATGTTGGAATGTCTTGGAATCAATTTGTAGATGCAATCCCTCAGAGGACGAGAGATATAAAGGCAAGAGTTAACTGACCACTCACTATGTGCAGAGAACTCTACCAAGATTTAGTATTTTATTTCAACTTTTTAAAATATGAAAATAGAGATGCAGAGATCAGTTATACAGCCATCAAATCGTGCAGAAGCACTGAAACTCAGGCTATATGGTTCCAGAACCCATGTGCGTAGCTACTCAGTCACTCTTTCTTTCTTTTTGTTTTCTTCTTACACATTTTTCCTTAKGATCTCATAATTCACAAGGAACTTTGGAGAACTTGTTCTTAAAGGAGTTTATGGCCAAGTACAGGAACTAAGATATAGAAAAGATAGTTTAGAATTAAATATACCCTCCAAAATTTACAGACAATATATTTATAGGAGTTTGAAAAGTAATACATTACTTTTAATTAAGGAATTAGGGATATGGAGGGTGAGGGGGCTGCTGAAGAAAAGCCCCATGACACTTGAGGTTGACTTTGAAGAATGGGTAGACCTTGGACAACTAGAAATGTGTCAAGTGGGGAATTGCAGGAGACACCAAGATGCAGATTTAAACTTGAACTTAATTGTACAGCACCAACTACTGAGAATTCTACATACGGAGGGGAATGAGATTGTGAAGCTCCTTCCTATTCACCCTGCACATCAACATCTCTCAGATGTCATGATACCTGAGGACATCAACCCAGCTAATTCCATTAACCAAACACAAAGCATTCATTTTCCTTATTTGCTTGCTTGAGTTTAAAGCACTCTGTCATACTTCAGTCTTCCAAATACTTGCATCATCCCTGAATAGTTTATCACACACACCAGAGGAAAACCTGCTCAAACAATTGATAACTTTATATTTAAAACCAAGCCTTGCCAGGCATGGTATCCCACACCTGTAATCCCAATGGCTCAGGAGGCTGAGGCAGGAGGATCACMAGTTCAAAGCCAGCCTCAGCAATGGCGAGGCACTAAGCAACTCAGAGAGACMCTGTCTCTAAATAAAATGCAAAATAGGGCTGGGGATATGGGTTAGTGGTCACGTGCCCCTGAGTTCAACCCCTAGTACCAAAAACAAAAACGAAAACAAAAAAACCACCACGCCTTGGTTTTCCTCTTAGTTTTTCCAAGCCATGTGTCTGACGACAGTGAATAAAGGTAGTCATAAACAACAGCACCAAGTTCCAACCATCAACAATCAGCAGGCAGAGTAAGAGCACATGAGAACTAACAATTGTTTATTTGAAAGGCTTTTTTAAAAAGAGAATGTTAACTGTTCTAATTACATCTAAAATWAAAAAATGGTTCCCAAGAACTACACAGCTATTGTTAAAATAACATGATCCTTGCCAAGAGATTATTCACGTCTATGCTGTAATCRTCAAGACTACCTCTTCCAATGGAAAGAGCTAAAGTTTGCAGTAGACAGTATACTGTACCTCTGCTGCTCCAGGGCATGCTGGTCCAAACAGGGCAGAAATRTGTCCTCCCCGGACCTGGTTGATAAAAAGAGCAAGGGACTCCTTGGCACTGCAGGTGGAGTTGGTGTAAGTGAACTCCCAGCTGAAGTTTCCCAGGCCCACTGGCTCTGAGTTGACCTTGTCCATGGCCTGCCCCCAGCCTCTGCACACTGCAGGGATGGGCGATGTTCCAGGGGGCATGGAAGCCCACAGTGATTTTGGCAGCTTCAAGGCAAGTCCCCAGCACACTGGCAAAGAGCATCAGTCCTAGTGTTAGGTGATCACCATGGCATTCAGACCCTAGCAGAGCACAGCTTCTGGTGGGGGATTGGGACCTGTCCTGAGAGTCCAGGATGGCATGTTACACTGCAGAACCCTGAGAGGCTCAGCCTCCTGGCCACTCGTTCCTGGAACCCATGTGATAGTGCAGAATCCCCTGAGGCCCACAACTTGCTTCCTCTCCAGTGCTGTTAATTAACAGATACCCCCTGCTTCTGAGTCTGTCCTAACAATTAGGAGCAGCAGTCTTTCACAAAGGCTGGAGCATGGAGTCAGCAAACTCAGGTCATTGATCCAGTGACACCACTGATAATCTTTGTGTTTGGGCAAGTGACATGACTTTTTGTCCCCCTCTACCAGTAAAATAAGAGTTATAGGACCCACCCAAATGTAGCCAGATGGCCTGTGCTAGTATTCTGTGTGACGTGGGTCATGTTACTTCCTCTCTCTGTGCCTTCCACTTGAGATCTATAAAATGGGGACAAACTATAATGAGGCCTTCCTCAAAGTGATATGGTAAGGATTAAAATAGCCGTCCAAATCTAGTCCTTGGTACAATGCCTATGCAAAGGGTCATTCATCAATGTAAGTTTGTGGATTTTACTTTTAAGAAATCACTGGGGATTGAACCCCAGGGGAGGAAGTCTCTTCCACTGAGCTACACCCCCAGACCTTTTTTTATGTTGAGACAGGGTCTTGCTAAGTTGACTAAATCAGCCTCAAACTTGTAATCCTCCTGCCTTAGCCTCCAAATCACCAGGATTACAGACGTGCACCACCMTGCCTAGCTTCATCACTATTAGGTTTGATAATGGTTACGGTGGTAATGGTAATGATGGTGATGAAGGGGCGTAGCTAGTAGTAATGACAATTATTATCTCCTGCTGAAGCTATCTTATAGGGATATTTCCTAGAATGAGTGAGCTAATGTCTAAGAGATAATCCACTAACAAGCAGGCAGTCCATCTCCCTCACCTGAGCTTGAGGTCCCATGGATTGGATGAGTCTTAGCCCTCCATTTACATAGATCAGGGCAAGAAGCTGGGGGCAGCTCTTCATTGTCTGATGTGTGGCAGGAATGAARGGTCTCTTGGGAGGTCACAGCCTCCCTCAGGTAAGATGGCCCAGCCATTAGCTAGGCACATCCACACCCATCTGGAGGGTTGAATTCCCACCTACCCCGGTCTCTTTTTCGGATCACTCTGATAGGAAAGGTGTTGGCATCCCATATCACCTCAGGATTAGGTGTTTTAATACCTAGTAAGCTTGCTGTGGTTCTCAAAACTTCATTGAGGAACTACTTATCCCAGTCTCTCCTGGTAGTCCAGATTCCAGAGCCCTGCTCCAGACCCTCTCAACCAGAATGTCTCGGGGTGGATCTGGGAATCTACTTTGATTAGATTCCTATCATCTATCACTAGACACTAAGGCCCGAGAAACCCTGATTATCTGAAGTGAGAGAAGGCAAKAAATAGCCAATAGCCATTCTCTACTTAACTTCTTTCAGTTACAAGACCCCCCCCCAGGTGGAATCCAGACCCTCAGCTCTGGCTCGTCTCAGAGGGAAATTCCTAAACCTGTGGAATATGGGGTTTACATTTCTCTAAAGCAAATTTGCCATAATTTGTGCTTCCCTGAGCTTCGGTTTCTCTCTCTCCCTCCTCTACTAGGACAGCTTAGAGCAAAATCCTGAGTCCAAACACTCCCTCATCCTAATCACAGATAGAATACTGTGGATCTTTCTGGCTCAGATGTTTATCAGATTGTGAGACCTTGGGCGATCGGTTAAATCTGTGCCTCAGTTTCCTCCATTTCACCATGAGCGTAATAACACCCGCTCAGATGATKTCCAAAGATACCCTGAGATTACATAATTAGCAGAGTCCCTCACATTCGGTAGAAACTCAATAAGGGAGGGTTGTTAATGGGTGTGTCATTGGAAAGCCACGGTCTCAAACCTAGGATGCTAGAGATAATACATTGTTACACCCTTGGTGTCCCTTCTTCCCCTACCATACAAGCTTTTAAAATTTGTATTCCTACTCTGGATGATCTTTGATTCTTAGTGTTTTCCAACTGCCTTTCTGATGAGAATTTTTGAAGCCAGGAACAGCGTGTGTCTCTTGGAGTTGCAGATCTTGGAGTTGCATTGGGCCTTTAAGCACACAGATTAATATTATTGTAATAAGCATTTTGTATTCTCAAATGCTTACAAGTGAGCATGGCCAAAGCAGAAGAAAATATCAATGATGTTCAATGTTGGTGTGAGAATTCAAGAAACAGAGGTAMACTGCTAGTAGGATTGATGATAGCAGTTTTTCAATACACATTCACAAACCCTAAGAATATGTGTATCTTTGACTCAGAAATTCTAATTTTGAGGGTCTCTCCTAAACAAATAAGATCATATGATCATATAGAATCAAATTTTATTTCTAACACTCAGGTATTAGCCACAAACTAATATCTTCATAGCCAATAGTAGKGGCTTGGTTAAACAATATGTAACAATTCTGTATAATTGAATATCACACAGTCATTAAAATGTTATTTTAGGGGATGGGAATCATGGGAGTGGGGTATTTTATTTGCTTTAATTTTATATATATATTTTTTTGTCTTAATGTCTTTGCTCTAAGGAAGAAATTGAATGTTTTGATTAAAAATAAACCCTACAGACTTGCACTTGTGGAGTAAAATCAAAGGGAGTTAAACTCAATTCCTTAATTAAGCCTTAGGTCCTCAGGTCTGGAGCACCCCATGCTGATCTGGGTTCTCCTGCTTCTAGACACCTGGTTTACCTCTGTGGGCCCTAATCGTGCTCTGCTGAGCTCAGTCCCTTCCACTCCCCCCTGCCCCCACCTTGCCCTCAGAGGAGAAGGGAGACAGAAATGGARCAGTTCAGGTAATGGTCATCCTCTGCTGGAAACTGTTGCCATAGTTACAGGCCCAATTTGTGCAATTCGCTTGATCGGCTGGAGTGGAAATGCCTGAGGTTAAAACCAGGCTAGGGGGAGTCGTAGGWCTGTGGCTGCCAGAGGGTCTTGCTGTTCTCCACTTCTCTTCTCCAGTCTTCTTCCCTTCTGGGAAATTCTTATGCTTACAAATTGCCAATACCACAGTGGTTGATGGAAGAGGCCGTGTTGTTTCATCCGAGGATACTTCGGAACAAACGTAGCCTGAGCTTGGCCAGCGGAGGTTCAGAGGTGGCTCCTTTGTCAGTGAGCTAGGCCTTTGCTACCTAGCTACTGGGTTCAGGGAGGGCTCTCTGGCTGATTTATGCTTTCCTGAATGCGGACCAGCTTAGGCCATAAACCAGGTCTAGGGCCAGCTGTTCGGCATCCAGACCAGATAAGATTAGCMGTTACCAGGATAATAGGCCTCCAAGCTGCCCAACCTCTCTTCCTGCTGACCCCTGGCCTCCCTTTGTAAATCAGTGGCCTGATCATAGTGGAAACCTGGCAGTTAAATGAACTGGAGAAGGTGAGAGGCAGAAAAAGATGTGTGGCCTACTTGGACTGAGACAAGATACACTAAGAGGACTCTGTAATGGTCCAAGGAAGAGGCAAAGGTAACCAGCACACCCTTTCATCTCCTGGTGTGTTCTGGGGAAAGACATGGTCCCCCCGGCTCTCCCGAGTCAATGAGACAGTATTGAGCCTCAATTTCCTTGACAGTTAAGTGGGGAAGGACAGAGGACATGGACCTCTGACCTTACCAGCTTCTTGCCCTAAGATACTAGGATCTGGGTAGATTCCCAACTAAGTACTATCAGGTGTCAGGCTGGGATGGATAACAGCAAATTTCCTAACAGGAGCGCTCCTGAAGGTAGAGCACATCTTGCACTCACCATTCCAGAAATAAAAGCAGGTAAAAGTGGCTATTGCCTGGCAGGGTGTGAACTCAGACTTTGCTGTTGTGTCTTCTTGCAAATACTTGTTCACAGTCTCTGAAAATGAGGCTTCCACTCAGCAASGGTTCCAGAAGCCTTAGGAAGTGGAATAAAGCCTGAATTGGGAAGTCGGCAGCAAAATGAATCCTCAGGATTCAAAGCCTGCTCCTTTAGGTAACCACAGGCACATACTACTCCTGGAAGACACTGATCTTAGCTGACTGATAAGGTCAGGTCATGTTTCTACAAGGACCTATGCATGGGGTAGAGAATCCCTTCCTCCTAGGGACCCCACCTGTCTCCTGTATATTTCAACCATCTGATGTTTACCCTGTGCTTCTCACACCTATTCAAGGAATGAGCCTTTGAAACCTGAGCAGGTGCTCTTGAAAATCTGGGTCTTGTAGTCAATACTTTCAACACAAGTTTCTCCTGGCAAGCTAAACCTGGAGTTTGCTAGGTTGGTCTGGTCTAAATGTTAGCTTTCTTAATATTTACTTCATGGTCCTGTGTTTTGTTTGTTTGTTTTGTTGTTTTGAGTTCTGGGGACTGAATCCAGGAGCACTTAACTACTGAGTCACATCTCCAGTCCTTTTTATTTTGAGACAGGATCTTGCTGAGGGTCTAGTTAAGTTGCTGAGTCTGGCCTTGAACTTGCAATCCTCTTGCTTCAGCCTCCCAAGTTGCTGGGATTACAGGTGTGCAGGCTTACTTTGCAGTTTTGCTCCTATCTCTCTGATAACTGTTCCTCTCCTCTCACATGAAACTCTAGCATGAAGAGCAAAATCTTTCAGAAGGTAGAAGGGAGGAGAGGTGAATGCCTGCTCCAGGTACTTGGTATTCAAAGATACTTAGTGATTGATAGTGATGTAATTACTTTCCAAGCCACTTTCCATACAATTTAGGTTTTCCTAGAATTCCTTTGTTCTTACAGTGGCACAAATACTGAGCAAATAGAATATATCCTATACATCAGCCTCTTGTGATGCTATACTTTTGTCCATCTGTGCCTGTGAGTGATCTGTGTGTCACCCGGAGTGGCCTTTGGCCTTTCTCTCTAGTGGGCAGCTATCTGGAGTGGGGCAGGATGTCCCTTCTGACTCCTCCACCCTCTTCAGCTTCTTGTCTGGAGACACCAGAGGCCCTCCCACTTCCTGGTATTTCCTCTCTGCTTGTGTGAAAGGCTCCCAGCTAGCTCTCCAGCCCAGTGCTGAGGGCAGCTCTCCCTGGGGAACCAAGGCCAAAAAGCAGAGATGATATTCTTAGAGGCTTGGGGAGGAGCGAGGTGTTGCCATCCCCTCAAAATGTGCACGTTCCTGCCTCCTGCCGGGAGCCGCTGCTTTCCAGTGCCTGKGCTGTAGGAGGCAGTGCAGCAGAAAGGATGGCAGCTCAGGTTTTGAAATGAGGCTGAAGCTGGCTTGGACAGTTATTGTCTAAATCCCACTTTCCTCATTTGCAATTACCCTGATGACCCTATGTGAGCATCAAACGGAGTAGTAGACGTAGAACACACAACCTGGTGCATGGCATGGGGTGACAGTCAATGAGCAGCAGCAGTTCTATAATAAGGGCCTGGTATTAGGAACTCTGTGGGATGGACSCTCTGTTAACCCAAAGGAACAAATTGCTGCTGCCATGGTGACCAGAGGAACAGGTAAAAGACTTCACAGCCACAGGTTCCTGAAGATGCCCAGAAATTATAGCATCTAAAATATACTTAAATTAATTATACATATATATACACACACATATATGTAACTGTCATGTATAAATGTGTATATATAACTGTCATAATACGTGTGTGTGTGTGTGTGTGTGTGTGTGTGTGTGTATAAAATCTGTGAAACATCAGGTGGGATGGTAAGCTCTGGCTGGTCACTGGAAAGAAAAAATTTACCTGGGGCAGCTATAATATGTTTGTCACTCCACTGGGTAATACTACCTTGCACTTATATTTTATAAATCAAAGGACTCTTGTCTTCCAAATCATCATTGCCCAAACAAAAATAGAAAACAGATGCATTTAAAAGAGTAAAAGGAGCAATGGGATTACTACCTACTATATCCTAATTATTGTCTCAATCTGTAATCGATTTTTTTCAAATTGAGTTTTTATGTTATTGAGTCTCCACTGAGACTCCAAGATTTGGTATTTTTGCACTTAAAC